TCTCTAAGTTGTACCCACCTACAAAACGCCACCTTAGGTAAACCCACCTATCAACCTCCTTTATATACCTGTACTGAGCACCTTGTACCTTGCCTGGAGAAAATCACTGGTTTACTTCCAGTTTAAAACCACACACCACTGCTGAGTATTCCTACTTTGCTTCCCCCAGAACCTTATGTTTCCACTTTCAGAAAGGTTTCTTTCAAACATTCTCCGGCTGCAAACCTCCTATCTCCTCCCTGGTGTTCAGCCATCGACCTTGCCTGACACTTCCATGACGAAATAGGTTATAAGACAGGAACTCCCTTAACCTTGCTGCCTGCAGACCTTTAAACCTACCAGTGTCTCCTTCATCTTCTTCCTTTTACTTTTAGCAGGAATTATCCCTTTTTGTTTCAAAGTCCATCCTCTCTGCTCTTCCTCATGGCCCCTGAGGCCTTGACTTCCTCGGTCACGCCCTCCATCTCCTATACTGTCTGTCCTGCTCCCTCTGTTAAATGATTCCCATCCACGTGCAAAAATATTCCAGCGCATCTTCCATTCTAGACACACAAACGAACGCTCCCTTTCCCCTGCATTCTCCCACCCCATTTCTCTGCCCTCCTTTGGCATGAAACTTGTTTTCCGGTGTGGTCCACACATGCTCTCCCCACTGCACCCTTTCTCTCATCTGCCCCTGCAGTCTGCTCTCTGGCCCTATCTATCACTCCACTGAGACTGCTCACCAGTGACCTCTCTCCTTTCCAGACTAGGGGACACTTTCCTGTTCTCATCTAATTTAGTCTCTCAGTGATGTCCAGATGAAATTTCACCTCCTTTCTTCTGGGGGTCCTTCTGGTTCTGTGCCCCTCACCCTCTCAGTCTGCCTTCATTAAGCACCTGCCCCAGCCAGCCCTGTTCCTCCTAACCTGGCCTTTCCTACCCCTGCCTTATCCAGGCTTCTCTCTACACCCCCCCCCCCATGATCCTGTCTTCACCCACCTCCACTCTGACACATGACTCTGCTACCATGTTCTCGTAGCAGCCAGAGAGAGCCTTTAAAAACACACCAAATCACATTATCCTTTGTGTACAGCCCTCTAATGGCTTTGCATTTTACTCAGAGTGAAAAAACATAGTACTTAGAATGGCTAGGCCCTCCTGGATGGGGCTTCCCACTGCCTCAGCCTCCTACCTCTCATCTTTGTCACTGTGCTCCCGAGCACACCTGGAGGCATTTACATTTGCTGTTCCCTCTGCCTGGAATGCTCTTCCTCCAAATATCCATTTGGCTGTTCCCTTAACTTCCTCAAGTCTTTACTATCACCTCCTCCAGGAAGCCTTCCCTGACTACCCTGTATAGAGCAGCCACACTAAACACTTCCTGCCCCCTCCCACGCCTCACTTCTTATGTTAAGATTTGCATATCTGCTGAATGTAAACCTCAGGAAGGCAAGGACTTTGTCTGCCTGCTTGGCACCGCGAAGCCACTCAGTAATCATGAATGGATAGAGGTGGGAGAGAGGAGGTACGGCAGGCGGAGGTGGGGGGCACCTCAGGGAACATGGGGCCCCAGTAGAGCTGGGAGCAGGTAGAAAGGGAAGTAAGTTTTAGAGTGACTCAGTGGAGAATAATTAGGGAGATACAAGAATCACTGAACCCCAAGGTTGAGCCACAGAAGTGCCAGGAACCTTCCCCCAGGATTCCAGTGAGTGAGGATTGAGGGAACATAAGAGAGACTGAAAAATGGGGGAATGCCAGGCTAGAGAAGACATACCACCCTGATGAGACCCTACCTGCCCTTCCACAGGCCCCCTGGGTAATAGAGGGCAAGCGCCCTCCGCCAGGCTGGCCCCAGCACGGGGAGGTGGAGTTCCGGGATTACTCTGTGCGCTACAGGCCCGAGCTGGACCTGGTGCTGAAAAACCTGAGCCTGCGCGTGCGCGGGGGCGAGAAGGTACCGTGCGGCGCATGGGTCAGAGTGTGTTCCTACCGGGTCGGGTATGGGGCTGTGGCCTTGTGGGGAGGGTGGGTCTTTGAGAGAGCAGGTGCTCTGGCCCCCCTCTGGGGGTGTCCTAGAGATGCCCTGTGAACTCTCAGCTCCCCTCCCACAGGTGGGGATCGTGGGCCGCACTGGCGCTGGCAAATCATTTATGACCCTCTGCCTGCCCCGCATTCTGGAGGCAGCAGAGGGTGAAATCCGCATCGATGGCCTCAATGTGGCAGACATTGGCCTCCATGACCTGCGTTCTCAGCTGACCATCATCCCCCAGGTACGAGCCTGACATGGACTGGCCACACTGAACAACGACCCTGGGGGCAGCCACCACCCATTCTGTAGTTTGAGGATGGGGAGTGGACCCTGGGTTTTGAGGCTTCGGGGTGCTGCATGGACAGTAGGGAGTAAAGCCACAAAGCAGCCACAAGCACAGATCTGGAAGGGTCAGACATCCTTGCTCAGTTAAGCCCTGCCCTTTGACTTCCTGAACCAGGAAATGGGGAAGGACCACCTCCAAGCTCCCATCCCCCAGATGTTCTGTCCCAGTCTCTTGTTATACAGCTGAATTACATTTCACGTATTCTGGCTCCTCCAGAGTATATTTTTCTGCCGACTGGACACTTTGGAGTCAGATTAGTGGTTCTGATTCCTGCTTTC